TTGGATTGAAGAGGAAGAAGCGAAGAAAGAGAAGATAGTGAAGTTGATTTGGAATGTGAATGTAGCTTATACCATGAGGCACCAATCCCGAGGTGGCGCCAGTTTGCTTTGCCGGTGGTGACGTGGCGTCCAGCGGAGCAAAGTGGGGCAGAGGGGACTACTAAGTATACCCACGAGGTACGATGATGTTATCAATTTCCCGCACCCTTGTTTTTTGGATAAATGGCCTTATTAGTCCTCAGAGAATACATCCAGTAATGGTTTAGCCTCTAAATTAAGAACGGTAACATCTGTGCCCCAAACCCATTTAACCTTTATGCTTTATCCACTCATGGGTCATACTTAAGTGTATTGAGTTACTCAAAATCAAAAGATTTGGTTAAAAAACAGGTAAGAATTCATGTGATTAATTTAGTAAGAGAAATTGTCATTATTTGTTTTTGTTGTTAAAAATTATGTTATTAATTATTGAGATTATAATTTTATTAATCTTAAATATGAAAAAGACTAAATTACCATTAAGAAATAGTCATCCATCCCTCATTTATTAATAATGATATTTATGTCTTTTTATAGGCAAGACAAGTATTTTTTTCCTTAAGATAGACCGTAAAAAAACATTTATTATTATTATTTATTTTTGGTGAATTAAGTAATAAATAAAAACTGAAATAGGAACTTGTACTCCATAAAAGGAAAAAAAATGGAAAGTAAGGGGGTGCTTAAGAAAAAGAATTAAAAGCGGATATATTTAAGAGAAGAATTCACCCCAAGTGTCCCACAATTACATGGCTATGCCTATACCCCCGTCTTCCTTCGGGAACAAAAACACCTTTCCCCCCCATCACCATGTACTGTACATCATCCCATGATCAAACTATGAAAAACCTTATTCCCATGTTGACCGCTTCCATCTTAGAATATCCCTCTCAAACTAGTCATGTCACTTGTCCCAAGTTCTTATTCTTTTACTGTTTTACATCCCAAAACAAGAACATAAACATGCAAAAACTCCCAACCTGCTTATATTTCTCCTATTTATACCCGGCTTCCCACACCATGAAAATGAAAGAAAAAAAAAAATTACCAAAACTAAAAGGTCTTTTGGTTGCAAAAAATGAAGGAAGGGTGAGGAGAGTTTTCCAAAGGTTACTCCAATCTATTACTTTGGCCCTGGACGGGCTGGATATGAATGAGCTTGTCTAAGTTTTCTTTGGGGTTGAGGGTTCCCATAGAACATGGTTTGAGAACGGCTCACCATGTTGACCATGGAAGGCGTCTGGTAAGCTCGCACAAGACTTGTGCTATCAGTGGAGTCACCTCTGGCAGTTGCCCTTTGCCATGAATGTGAGCTCAATCCTGACAGCACATAAGCCCTTCCAGATGCCTCATACAAGTGGCGGCTTGCCATCCTTTCTTGCATCTCCTTTAGCTCAGCACATAGTGCAATGCATAACCTGTCACCAGCTTGGGCAGAGATGGTTTGAGATAAAGCCCTACCACAACTCTCGAGGAGAGACACAGCATTAGCTAGATTGCCATTCTCAGCAGCAACTCTAGCCTCAGCCATTGCCTTTGCTGCACGGAGCCTGTTTCGCTGCCTGTCTACTTCCATAGACACTTCCGGTTGTATAACTATTGCAGGCCTCTGTATCTTCGCTTCACTGGCTTCCTCTAGGGACACGATTTCTTTTGTAATAGGATCCCTGTAAACACATTGAACCTTTAGCAATGGCATCTCTTCACTGGATCCATCAACTGGAATATTGACCGTCACAAAAAAATCCCTTTCTTCCTCAGCATACAAGTCTCCAATATCAACAGAACCTGATCTTGCATCAGCCATCACGTTGGTTTGATAACTGCCAGCCTTTATCGAGTTAATTTGCAATTTTGGGTGAACACACTCAACCTTAACAGACAGTTCTTGCACTACAACACTTAAAAGCCCCCCAATACACAATGCAAATGCATCCTGGATTACACTCTCGGCTTCAATGAAAGAAAATGTACCTCCAGATATCTGAGAAATTGAATGCATTGAAGCAGCATCATGGTCTGCACCAAAACCAAATGCATGCACAGGGAACTGAAACCCAGCACCACCATCCCAATGAGTGGAGACAGGAAGAAGTGATTTATAATCAGTCCTGGGACTTGTAATGGTGTGAGTGTCCTTCCCATCAGATAACAGAATGATACTGCCAACTGAGTTCTTCCACTTGCGATCCACTAACACCTTGGTGCCTTTCCTAAGCCCTTCAGCAATGTTTGTCCCTCCATTTGTAGTCAGGGAGTTAACAGCCTGTAATGCTTCCTGTCTCCCAGTCTCAGTCATTTGACGAAGAGGAAAGAGGCGGCGGGCTGTGGAGGAGAAAGCTATAACAGAAAGCCGGTCAGAGGGGCCAAGGTTTTGTATCACAAAGCCCATGGCTTGTTTTAGCAAAGCAAGCTTGGTACCTGCCATGCTGCCACTCACATCAAGCACTGTGACAAGGTCAACTGTGGCATGAGTATTTTGAGATACTGGTGAGAACATAGTCTGGTTTCTGCTGCTATTTTGTCCACTTCTATGAGGAGCCTTGAGATGAATTAGTACAGAGAAATTGTTATGAGTGACTGCTCTTGGAACTGCTGAAATTTCAGGAAAAGTCTTGACTTCTAGTGTATCAATAAAATTGCTGCTAGCGGCATACTTTGTAGCTGTGTTTACTTCTTCAGTAGTCTCATTCTGCTGATCTAAGACTTCATCATCATTAAAGATTCCTGGCTCTGGAGCATGAGAAAGAGAAGTAATTTGCCTAGAAGAAGAATCTAGCCGAGGAGGAAGCCGTTGTAAAACAGTCATCCAGCCATCTTCCCGGGGCCATTCTACAGAGTTGATCCTTGACCTTTCATTTGGAAGATAAGAAAAAGGGCTAGGGAAGGGGATTTCTTTCCATTTGGCTCTGCAAACTGGACATATCTGGTTCCCATGTTTTACATTAGAGATTATGCAGTGAAAATGGAAAGAATGGGAGCATTCTGCAGTAAAAATGGCATGGCCTTGACCAACTTTCATTGTTGCCAGACAAATTGAACAGGTTCTCTGCAGTGTGAAATGATAAACTGGTAAGGATACAATATTGACAGGCATCAACTTCAAACATGCACTGCTAAAGTGCAAGTTGCAAAAAGAAAAAAAAGAAAAAGAAAAAAAGAGCAAAACAGCGTAAGAAAGAAAGAGGGGCCTCTAGCTAAAATTCCCTAATCATCCAAGTCCTCTTGATGAATACATATTTATCAAGTAAAACCCAGCCATCTACTGGTTTTCCAATATGCCTGCACAACTTACAAACACTGTATAAACAGATTTGATATTGCTATTTAAATTTCTAATCCAAATTCCAAAGATGAGGGATTTTAAATATCAGGAACTCAAAGCTGTAACTCACAGGCATTGAACTCCACAGATGTGTAAAATAACTCAAATTCACATTTCAGTAATTAGATTCAGATCCTCTTATGAATCACTTAAAATCTTACATCTACTCTCGAGTTCTATATTATTCAAGAGTTTTAAGGATAAAAAAAATTCCATATACAGCATGCATCATTGGCCCATTCAGTCTCCATGCAGATATATTATTAAGACAGGTACATGAAAGGGAGGATTGGAATGCGACCTATCAACATGAGAATCCCTATCTCAAAAAGCTACAGGTACACTTAACAAACTAAAGTAAATGACTTTAGCTTGCCTAACTAAACACAAAGACAGTCAAATTTGAAATTGGAAATGTTAAATCTACAGCATCAACTATTGAGATGAAGTCACTTTGTTTGCTTTTCTTGTCTCACATGAGCTCTGAACCAAAATTATGTGTGCAAACAATATAACATGCACCATGTTTAATAGTCAAAGCATTTAAAGGGCATATGTGGAATTAAACAGCAAAAGAAGGGATGGCCTTTAAAAAGTAAGAATAATCAAACAACCTTTAAAACAAATAATGGACCTTTCAAAAAAAATAACCCATAAAAGAGATATACAAAAATAATGCACAGCTCATCAAAAGAAGGCCAAATGATGGTTTCACTCCAATTTTTTCCTTTTAATTTCCATTTTCCAAATCTCCTTTTTTTTTTTTTTCTCTTAATGAAAGCTTATGGCAACCATATTTAAGCACTCAGTCAACTGTCCAGGGCTATTCCACAATTATCCTCAAAAGCAGGGAGAAAGAAAGAGCAAGAGAGATGTGCGTGTCGAATAGGGCAGTTGTGCTGACCAGGCAAAGCACTTTTCATATGAAAGGAAGAAAAGCTCGGAGCCAAGTTGTACATGATCAGTGTATTCATTTTTATTATAGATAATGAGCCAAAGGGCAATGGTCCTTAAAGCGACAAGTCTGCCTTATTTATCCCCAATTGCACATTGGCTCCTAGTGGAGAGTTGAAAACAACGCAACAGCAAAGACCCCATGTTCAGAAATTTCAGAATTAGTACACTGACACATCCCACCACCATACCCCACATGCCAAGAGCATAGAAACTAGAGAAATCTAGTAAAAGAATTGCCCAATTCCAAAATAAATTCGACATTAACAGTGTATAATACCAATATTTTAAGCACGATCACTCATTAGATCCCATTTACTTGAAGGGAAAATTAGGCAGAGATAAGAACTGACATTAACAGCAATTGAGTATCAAAATAATTAAGGTAGAATCCTTTTACAATGATCCCATTACTATTTATTCAGCATCAGAAATGTAGGTGTAAATTAAAAAACAACAGTAGTCAGAACCTACCATAAGATCCTGAAATGAAAGAGGGACACCAAAATCCGGTTTAAAAAAAAAAAATTCATTGCAAATTCGAACTTTCTTTATCATAGCCCAATTTGTCAGAATGCAATCTTAACATGCCATAGCATCCATGATTAAGCAAAAACAAGGTTAAAAAAATGTGCATACTACACAAACCCATATACATACAGACATAACAAAATCAATAGAGGAAGAAACGCAGACCTTTGATGCTCTCGTCCCGGATTTGGACAACCGGATGCGGGAAGAAGACGGGGTAGCTGTGGTTGGCCGGCATTCTAATGCCGGTGGAGAAAGGGGAGAGGGAGAAGACGCGTCGGAGGAGAATCTTGAGGGAACACCACCCGGATGGTGTCGGTGATTACTGGCGGTTGATGATGATGAAGGAGATGATTCTTCAGGCTTTTCTGGCACATACAAACACATGTTCAAGCCGAGAGCCAACTTCACCTTCCTCCATTTACTCCCCATAATTCCTGTTTTTGAGTTCTCAAGATCTCTTCTTTGGAACAAAAGCTTCCTCCTTTTAGCCTCCGTTCTCTCTAGGCAATTAAGCCAATCTTAAACCATTAAAGAAAAACACAAAAAGATGGAAACTTTAGGCTGCATTTTTTATGGGGAAGAATCAAAGTAACACATTTTCTTTAGAATTTGGGATATACACATAAATAAATAGTTAAAAGAGTGAAACTGAAGTGAGGGGAAGGGGAAGGGGAAGGGGAAGGAACAGGCTGTGATGTGGGACGGCTCCTGCCTTGACATTTTGGGCCCCGTTGGCTAGAGGTAAGCTTTGAATGCGAAAGTTTTTGCTGAAAAGTGCTGTAAAGAAAGAAAGTAGGTGAATTTTTAATTCGACATTTAATGTTTATCAGTACGATTAAAAAAATATTTGAACAACGAAACTCGAGAATTCAAAGGTTTTTTTCTTTCAACAAATTCGATATTAATGTTTATCAATACGATTAAAAAAATATTTGAACAACGAAATTAGATAATTTAAAGGTTTTTTT